TAGTATTTATATGAATACTAATAAACTCTAACCCTACGCTCTTTTGGGCTCTAGGATTTTTGGGCTCTTTGGCTCGGCTTGTAAAGGCCTGAGCTCGTTTAATAAAAGCTCGTGTTGGAACCAGGCTTGGACTTGTATAAAAGCTCGTTTAATAAAAAGGCCTCAGCTCTAATTCAGAAGCTCGGTCTAAACTCATTCGTTCCACTGTGCACTGCTCGTTTGTGTCAATTTATTTTTTATTTTATTTATTTTATTTTTATTTTTGTTGGCACTTTTTTTATAATGGGCTAAGATAATATAACATGTTATCTACCTTCTCTCACTTTAATTTTTTTATTTATTGTAGACTTTGTAAAATATTGCTGCAAATTGGAAGCTAAGGTTTCTATCTGGAAATTGATTTTTTGTGGAATTATGTTCTCTTATTTTTATTCTTTAACATGCTAACAAGCTAAGACAGGCTTCACACAGGCTTTTATTTTTTGTAAATAAACCAGGCCACAGGCCAATATTATATTCGTAACAGCTAACATGCTAAGGCTAGTTGGACACGTTTAAATACGGGTTTGGCCCGTTAAGATCAAAGCTCGGCTTGGCTCAGCTCGTTAACACCCCTAATTGTGAATGATAACTATCTTGTAAATCAAATTCTACTAAAAGAGGTGACAGTTTGACAATCATATAAGATATGGAGAAGATATATTTACCACCAAAAAAGTTTACCACCTTTACAACCAACCTAATCACCGTTGATTTCCGTCAATCTAACGGTTATAATTTATTGAAAATTATTGGATCACATTTATTAATCAATTATTAATTCTCAATAAATCCAATAAATTATAACCGTTAGATTGACAGAAATCAACGGTGATTAGGTTGGATGTAAAGTGATAAACTTTTGTAGTGGTAAGTATATCCTGCCCATAAAATATAAAGAAAGTTGCCGTAATTTTCAAAATTTGGAGCCAATCATGTGTAATTAAGGAAAATTTAAGGGAAGAATAGCGTAATTTTTTCTAATTAATTACATAAATAAAAGAGGAGGGAATGATATAATTAAAGTCACACCATAAAAGTTTCTATCATATAAATTGTATTTATAAGATATTACATTAATACAAAATTATTTAATACTCCATTGATATATATCAAGATTAATATGATATATTCGGAAAAATATTTATTCTTTTAAAGGATAATCATTTTAGCTAAAACTAATAATTTTTATTTAAAAATTTAAACTAAAAAAAAAACTTCCAACTTTCTCTCGCTATATTTTTATTATGGATTTTTTTTATTTAAAATGACATAATTCTATCCGTGGCGGGGTCAGGCTCAAATTTGAGCCCGGGTCAAAATATTATACGCGTATTTATTTTTCTTAATTTTAGTTCGTTCATATAATAATATATTTAAATTAGGGAATGATCTGTTTACAAATTATTATTACAAATTTTTGCAAATTGTACTATATACTCCCGGAAGTACATATTGTAATCTAATGTTCTTCCGGGAATACATTGTGTAGTTTGTAAATAAAAAATTTGTCAATATAACCCTCCTCATTTAAATTATATTAAATACAGAGCACCTGAGCAGGCAGTACCAATAAGAAATATAATTTTATTAAATATTTTTTAATTTTATTAAAAAAAATTTATACAAGTGAAAATTAAACACATAACCTAATACAACTTACTTAAATCTCTTACCAAAAATATTTTAATTTTTAAATAGGTCCAAATTACAAATTGTAGCTCGAATCAAATTATAATTTTAACTCGGGCCAAATTGTAATTAACTATATAATTATATATAATAAATATAATTTATTAAAATTTAGCTCGAGTCGAGACCACACCTAGAATGTACGTGGCTTCGCCGCTGAATTCTATATCGTTTAAAAATACAGATACCAAACCCATGTACTTAAGGAATGTATGAAAATAAAGACTATTTGATTATATTCTCACTGTTTTCCAAATTTTATTAAGTTTTTTATACAACTAATGAGATGAAAAAAAAACTCCCTATATTGGATTCTTTGAATTAAATACAGACAACAAAAAACGAGATCATTATTACAAAAAATAAAACAAAATCATTGTTGCTATTTGTGAGCTTTCACAAAGCTTCAACTGTGGAATCCGGTTTCGAGCGGGTCGACACGTCGAAGATAGAAGAAAATATTACAATGGAGAAATCTCAAACAATTCTACGAGTTAGGGTGAGATATTGAGAGAGATATCCTACTTATAATTCTCACTAAAAAATCTCACAAAATTTACACCAATAGAGAATTCATTAAAATCGTTAAATTTTTGCATACTATGAGATTATTTTTAGTTTGTTTAAAATCCTTATTGAATACCAGTGGATTTGTACGGACTCTAAAACAATCTTTTAAAATTCTAATCGAATACCACGTGACTTTTTTTTCAATCTTTTAAAATCCTAATTGAATACAAATGTATTTTTTTGTCCAAAAGCAGTCCATTAAAATACTTTGAAATCCCAATCCAATACATCTCTATATAAATCCACATTGTCTTTCAAATCTTATAAATTCTTTTAAAATCCAATCTTACAAAATCTTGATTATAAAAAAAAAAATTTTAAAAAATCTTTAAAGTCTCTTCAATTTTAAATAATCTTTTAAAATCTATAAGATTTTTTATTTCAATTTTTTTTTTAAAATAATCTTTCAAAACGAGAATATTTCAAATGAGACTAAGAAAGGGCTGGATATAGGGTTTTCTGCGCAATTTAATCGACTAAATAAGATATTTAGTCGATTAAATTTCGGAGATTAAATCTCTCCGAAATTTAATCGATCAAGATGGTGTTGTAGTCGATTAAATTTCGGGATTCATATTTTCTGTATTTTGTCAATGTAGTCGACTACATATTCACCTTAATCGACTAAATGGGGACATGATAGTGTATAGTTCTGGATGAGGGAAAAATTATTTATTAATTAATTAATGAAGGGCAAAAGGATCAAAAAATCGTGAATAAATCAATTTATATTGAAAGGGGTGACAGTTTGACAATCATTTAAAATATAAAGAAAGTTGCTTTAATTTTCAAAATTTGGAGCCAATCATGTGTAATTAAGGAAAATTTAAGGGAAGAATAGCGTAATTTTCTCCAATTAATTACATTTTTTGTTTGTTAAACAATACTGTGCATTTTTATAATTTAAGATTTTTTTTAATGAAGATCTTGACGTTAGAATATCATTATAATTTTTAAAAATTTGAGTTGATTCAAAAAACATCTCATTATTTTTTATTTAAATCATAGCAATTTTAAAAGTGTAATTTTGTTTTTGGGAGAGGTTATACTTACAACCTATTTTTCTTTACAACTTCTTACAGCCAATATCTTAACCGTTGATTTTCGTCAATCAACGGTTAAGATTTATTGTGAAATAATAATTATTTAATAAATTTTATTTGTAAAAATCTTAACCGTTGATTGACGAAAATCAACGGTTAAGATATTGGTTTTAAGAGGTTATAAAGAAAAATAGGTTGTAAGTATAACCTTCCCCTTTGTTTTTAAATAAACCTCAAATGTCAGACAATCTCATACAACGAACGACCTTAAAGGTTTTTTTTTTGAAATAAAATCAACTCTATCATCATGTTAAAGTTCTATTAGTATTTTAACTATAGGAATCAAATTTATAAAATACCGAAATTATAGGCATTTATTTACAAAATTATAAAATGTATGAAAATAAAGACTATTTGATTATATTCTCACTGTTTTCCAAATTTTATACAAATAATGTGATGAAAAAATAAATCTCCCTATATTGATTCTTTGAATTAAATACAGACAACAAAAAAAGGAAATCATTATTAAAAAAAAAGGAAATCGTTATCCTGTTATCACTCTCAATTAGCAATGATTTATTTCTTAATTGTGAATAATTTTCCAAAATATATGGCGGTATTTAATGACGCGGTGTGTTCATATCGTCTGTGTAGTGTAGGCATTTCCAAAATCAATTGCCCGCGTAAACAAGATTGTTGCCTTAAACAAACGCAACGCTGTGAAAATTCAATCAATAAATAGCAGCAAAAAGAAGAGCGCTGGTTATTGTTGTGTCTTCCATCACAGAGTCATGGGTTCCTTCTCCTCTACACTGCTTTTTCTTTTCTTCTTCTTTTCTTCCTCACTTGCCAATCACCATGACTCCGTCCAACTCAAAGGTCAGAATAGAACCTCCTTTTTCTTTTTTTTACTTCCACTTCACCGTAGGGGCATTTCTAACTACTTATTAATTATGCTTGTTGAGATTTCTCCCTTCTTGAATTCTACTGAAAACCTCTGATTAGGGATTTTCTTTTAAGAAATAAAATTAATTATTTTTTATTTTAATTATTATTATTGTTAGTGGGGAAAAAAATATAGGTTGTTGGTACTATTGGTACGAGACTTGTGAATTGATCTGATTTTTTTTTTTTTTTTTTTTTTTTGTGATTTTAAAATTTGGGTTGTATAAGTCAAATTCGGGTTGTGATTTTACTATGTTGGGCGTTTTTGTTCGAAAATTGTTGTAGATGGTAGCTGTATAATTTTTTATTTTGTTTATTGGGGTTTGATATGGATGGGGGTTATCTTTGTGGTGGGTGTCCTTTTGTTTTGAATGAGCAGAACAAAACAGTGTGATATAGGAACTCAATTTCTTTATGCTCCTCTAGAATTGGATGTTAACATTATTTTTCCGGTTAGTTGGTAGTTAGTCTTCTTTTTTCTGTGCTTGTACTCCTTATATTCACAAGAAAAAAAATCACTTATCTTTGTGTATATGGGTAGCTAGTTGTATGTTATATCAAATTGTTCACTGAATTTTCCATATTTGTGTTCGGTAAATTAATTGCTTTGTTCTTGTACTCTTTTCCCTGTCCTTTTTGCATTTGAAAATAATCTCCGCACATTACAACTGCAGGTATTGATATTGAAAGGCCAGTTTTGGATATCTCCCCTTCCCCACTTTCTGGGGATTCAGCTACTCATGGTGTTCAAGATATTTTACGATGTGAGCGTGTTCAAGTGTCTGGTATCTCAAGATTGAAACTTGGGAGCTATGCTAGTTCATTCCACATTACTTTGGCTCCATCTGCTGCGATCCAAGAGAGTTTACATAACAAAATTCAGGTTTGTTTCCACGGGTAAGTACATAACTTGGACATACTGTACGTAGTATTCTTTATTTATTTGCTGTCACTACACCCCCTCCGCTCATGTGCATGCTTGGTATGCACTCTCTTCTAGTTTCAACTTCTTTCAAAGTCTATCAAGATTGCCATTTCTTATTTATAAAGTATGTGCAGGAATAATGCACTTGGATGGTGTCAGTGTGAAAAGGATGAATGGATGAGTATGGAGAAGGGGATCTGGAATGCTGTCATGTCACCTTATGAAACTAGATATGTTGATGTGAGGATGAATGCTGAAATGTTGGGTTCTGTTACAGTTGCCCTTGAAGAAGGTTTGTTTCTTCCATCTCATAAGAGTTGGGAAAATTATTCTATTGTCTCTTCCCTTTGTGGTTTCTTTTTTCAAAATTTTGGGGCTTATTTATATGTTACACAAAAACTTTGCAGATTTTCAGCAATGGCGCCTTGTATGTCTTGCATTGGGATTGATACTGCTGTTGTTGGCTCCAATTATTAGCAGTTGGGTTCCATTTTATTATACCAGTTCAATGGCTATAGGGATCTTTCTTGTTGTTATAATCCTTCTTTTTCAGGTATACAAATTACTTTCTTATTATATATGAATTTCATTTTGTTTCATTTCTTTTAATTCTTCTTTGGTTGTTTAACATGTTTTCTGACTAATTTCTTATAATTATGATATAGGGCATGAAATTATTGCCAACTGGAAGGAAAAATATCTTTTACCTTACCATATATGGTTCAGTGGTGAGTTTGATTTAATTTTGGTCATTGTTCCCTTGCAGCTCTTCATGTTTCATGCAGATATTATCACTGTTAATATTATTACTATGTGCTGTTTCAGTTTGGAGCTGGGTCATTCCTTTTGCACCAATTCTCCGTGTTCATAAATTCAATTCTTCAAAGTTTTGGGATGAGTGAAGAGATGCACATTCCAGTATGTATATCTCTCTTTCTTTTTTGGATAACTTGGTGCATATCTGTATTTTTATGTTCTGTCATACAATACTGGCTGAATGGCTAACATCTATAGACACTTCTGGATTCCTAATCCTTTTTGTTGGCTTTTTCTTTAGACTCATACATTTTTTTCTTATGTATGACGAGCTAACATTCTGGGACACATTTGTAAAATTTTGTTTTTGCAGTCAATAACTCACTCTTTTAAATCTCCCTTACCTTATAATGAGGTGGCTTTTTTTGTTTCCTTTTGAATAACTTTTGGCAAATGTTATTTCTTTCTTTGGGCTAGCAAAAAATATTTGCAGTCAACAGAAAATAGCTGGTAAAGGGGTGAAAATGACTTCCTCTTTTCAAATATAATTATTTAATTTTCTGGAACAAGCTCAACCTTTCTATATATGCTTGTCGCCCTGATGTTTGCCCTAACTGTCATTCGCGAATGACTAGTCCCTGGTTGGTGGTTACATTGTAGCTTTCACTTTCCACCCTCCCTGTTCCCCTTTCTGTGGTGCCTTCATTTCATGCTGCATAACTCTTGCTGATTGCTGGCCATCTTTGCCTGTCTGTCAGATATATGTTATCAACTGTTTTCCATCCTATGGGATTTGGCTTGTCTATCAGACGTATCTTAAATTCTCTTTAATAAAATAATTTTCTTCAATGGTTTTACAGGTTGCCATTTTTGTACTACTGGGTATCCTCTTGGCTGGAGCTGCTTTAGGCTACTGGGCTCTTAGGAGATTTGTTCTTTCGAAAGAAGATGGCAGTGTGGATGCTGGGGTCGCTCAGTTTGTGAAATGGGCAATGCGCACTATTGGAGCCACCTTGGTTTCGCAGGTTTGCATTTATATTAACAGGGAATGTGCAATAAACTATTGCTGTTATCTAACGTTCATCCTGTCATATATGACAGGTTATGCTAGGTCATCGTGGATTAACTTGTGTAAATTATTGTTGTTGTTGCATGCAGATTTGAAGATGAATAATTTTTCTGTATGGAGAAAATATTCTGATTTAAAAATGAATGAAATAAACTATAGTTATAATAATGAAATGATTATTTTGAAAAGCGAAAACGAAAATAATAAAAATAGTTAAATATAAAATATAAATAGTAAGAAAATAGTTTTAAAAAATGCAAAATAAAAATGGCATAGATTGATAAATTTTCTGAAAGTCGCACAGCTTGGTAATATTTTTTATAGAGTGGCTTTGATTGGTACAAATGCTGTTATTGTCTATTTACTTGATTTTCATGGTAAAATTGTCTGTTGAATCCATGAATAATTGAGTTGATGCTGATGAGATGTACCTATTTATGTGAATTGAGATTTAACTATTTTTGCTAATTAAAACCTGTCTGGTGTGTTGTCTGACCATTCTGGCCTCTTACATACTATTGTTTTTAGAGTTTTGTTCATTGCCCTATTTATACTGATTTCGTTTCTCTGTCAGAGCACTGTTGATCCTCCTCTAGCAATTGGAGCCTTGGTCTCTTCTGGAGCTGTTTGCTGTCTTATTTCTTCGAAAAACTGGTTTCATGGATGGTAAGTATGACTGTATGACTTTCTCTCTCTGCTTTATTTTATTTGTTCATGTAAAATCATTTCTACTGGAAATGTTTGCCATAGTTACCTAGTTTTCATCCAATTTGTTCTGCCAGCTAACCTGAATGTTTCTTCATGATGGTGGTTTTGTCCAAGGAACATTAGACGAGATGGTTGTCATGAAATCATGTTGCTCATTGCTGACAACTTGTTAATAAGGCATTTTGGATGTTTTCATGAATTGTTGTATATTGCTTTTATAGAATTTAAAGCCCATAATCTAATTGTAGGAAATGCTCACGGTTTATATAATTGAACATTGTAATCAATTTTTCCATTTTAGATAGTAAAGGAACCAAGAGGGAGTGAGATTCACTAACATATGCTGGTCTTTGACTGTTTAGATATCTGTATGACTGTCCTAAAATTGTTCCTCTGTTTTTTTTGGTCATTGTTTGTCATTCAAGGCTTCAAGTCTTCCACTTTTAAAAATGCCATTATGATTTCATGTAGGTATGGAACTTCAGGAAATGATGATCACTCGCTGCTGTGGGTGAGAGGAACACGTGGTCGTGCTGAATTCCTTAGCAAGTCAACTCCTAAAGGAAAAATGTGGAGTAGTCCTAAAAGATCTGCATGGTCCGACTCTCCGGTGAGAGGTATTGTTCCATGTTTGAATCTTTCTGATATATGATTCCTACATATTGTCCTAGCAAGATTTTTGTTTTCCTGGTGAGTCAAGCAAGTTCTTTACTAATAAATAGATCAAAGAAATTGAACTTTTGGCTGAGGTAGGCAGAATCTTATTCTTATACTGGCTTATAATGGTATCTTGATTTTGTGGAACTGATTAAGCAAAACTTTAGTAGTAAGTAGATCAAAATCAAAGCAATTGATGTTTTTGGCTGAAATATTCAGGATCTTATATTCTCTCTTTAGAAAGAGAGAGAGAGAGAGAGAGAACGGCTGTTATTCCATATCAGGCCTAATTTGCCTACTAAATGTGCCATAGGCTCAAATTGTTGAAAGAAACTTTCCTGGTTCACTAAAGTGGAAATTTTCTTTGCATTGAGCAAAGTACATTTTGTGTTGCCTAAACTTGTAGCTGAAGTCTGAACACAACTTATCACCTTCGCCCTTTTCTTCATTTTTTTAGAGCTTTTCATTTCTAGCGTAATTCAGACTACAATAACAAGGACACAGTCTGATCGTTCTTCCTGAAGATTATTACTTAAGGTTGAACTTAAATTTTTTCTTTTTTTGATATCTTCATCTGAAGTGATAATTCATGACTTTTTCTCAACTATCATCCTGGATTGTTCCGTAAAATATCTTTCTGTACTAATAATGCATATTGAGATCCATGGGTCAGCATGTAATTGCAAATCTTCCATTCTGATAGATGAACATCGGTAATGTCGAAGGTGAGGGAATGGAAGTTGATACATTTGTTAAACATTTTAAAGTTAATTTAGTTAATTGTAATGGTGCAGTGATTTTTTTCTTTGAATCTTCTGGATTTAGTTTTCCACTTCTGAGATTTTATGTGATTCCTTGGACTTGGTTGCTTTTGAATACATTATTTTGCTTGCAATAAAAATGCTATGAAAAAGTACCTGATTCATATGTCTGTTTCAGGTGTTGTATCACCATCTTCTGTTATCTCGCCACAATCTTGTTGGACACAAATAAGGGGGGATTATTATTCAACCTTCCACAAGACGCGGAACAGAAAGAAGTTCACAAAGAAAGAGTGGGATGAGTTCACAAATGAAACCACCAAGCAAGCTTTAGCAGAATGGGCAGCATCTCCAGAGTTTACTGACTGGCTCATGGAGAATGCAGACCGGATTAAACTCCTTCCAAGTGAGAGTTCAGACGAGACAATGGGAAGTGGATCGGATTCCTCAGATGCAGGAAGTGGAAATGGATTTAGGGGTTTTAAATGGTGGTGACTTGACATTGTTATTTAAACAGTCAGGGAGCAGTAAGTAAACAAGAGTCTAATGTAGTCAGGAATTTAGGATTGCTTCTTGTAACCACCGTGTAGAGATAATGTTATTAGTTTGCCTGATTATTTTCCACTGCAAGCCTGGGCAATCTTGTTAAATTTTTTGTTATCGCAATCTGTTTTTTTGCCTTTTTATTTTTTTTCTCTCTTCTGTTATATTATTTTTACAATTTATATTTTTTAGTATTGTGTAACTCTTGAAGCTCTTTTTGTAATCGAAAGGTCATCGATTCAAATATAACAAATAATCTCTTTGCATAAATGACTGGACAAATAAGTGAATCCATCCTTGAAAATTAGGGTTTCATATGGAGTATTTTTTTAGTTTGTGTAACTCTTGCGCTGTGATTTCAATTGCTTTTATGGTGTGTCTTTGGATAGAAATGATGACATGTAATATGCATAATGGTATGAGTAGCTAACTATACAACTAAGATATTTTTATTGACGTTGACATAGCAATTTTTTTTTTTTTTTTTTGGCATTGTATTATGTAATTTCTAGCAGTTTCTTGTCATTAAATTTTATTTCACACTAATGTAATTTATATATTGATAATACCCAGAAAAAAGTTAACATTGACTTAGAAAATGAATTTGGTTATATTAACTTAAAGTTACAGGAATTACATTGTAACAATTGAAATAATGGGAATCAAGATGAAATTTGAGTGAAGTTGAAAGGATTAGAAGTATGATTATATTTTTTTTAGAAGTATAAAGAGTGTGGTTTCCCGACAATTTTGTTTCCCCATTCATTTTTAAATTCAAACTCGAGACATTAAGAAAAGAAAAACTTAACAAATTGGTGAGTAATATAATGATCAAATTGATAACTACCAAATAGAAAAAGAATCAACTCAAAGTGGGTTGATCTAGCTGTTGTTAGCTAGGCTCCAGAATGTACTCGTGTCATTGAAGTGGAAGATGTTCGAATCTCGGAGGCATCCACCCACTTGGGGAGGACTTTATCGTAAACAACTTTTCGATGAGGAGTGATTGCACACTTTACCACTATTTTTGTAATTAAAAAAATAAAGAAAAAGAGCTAGAATAGTGGAGGAATATCAAATTGGTACTTAACAAAACTTTAAAAAGCTTAGGTTTCAGGCTTTTACGTACAAAGAAAGAAATCTTTTTTTTTTTATAAAATCTTTGCTGAATAAGTTTTTTTTATTGGTGAGTCATTTATAAGTATTATGCTGGTAAATCTTTACTGAAATTCATGACATGTCTACTATTAAAATGATACAATTATTTTAGGGATTTATTATTCTTATGTTACATAAAAAAGAATTTATCTTCTACACACACAAATTCAAGATAGGTCCCACTTTTTTTTTTTTTTTTTTTTTCTCTTTCTCCTTGAAGGTGGACCTCACCTGCAGAAATGAGTTTGTAGAAAATAATAGTTATCTCTTATTTTACAAGAAAACTATTACCCATTGTTTTATAGGCTATATTATTCTCCTATAAGAGCAAAGTAATTCTCTCTTGTTGCAGAGATAGCCATGTGGTGTGAGACCTATCATTTTTTTTACTTTTTTAAAAAAAAAAAGAAGGACACAAGAATCCATGAGTATATAGGAAAAAAAATTACTTTATATTACAGGAGAGTAATATAGCCCTTATTTTATCCCTTCAACTTTCATGCATTTATATAATTTAATTTTAATCAATTGAAATATTTATTGAAAGTGAAGTATTATAATTATTTCAACAATACAACTTGTTAAGTTGAAAGGGTGAAATTTTTCTTTGCAGCTATTGGTTTTTTAACAAGCTTCTACTAAAAGTAAAGTGTGTTTAAATTCTACCATTAAGTGCGGGTGAGGGAAAAAGAGAAGGAAAGAAAAAGAAAAAAGAAAAAAAGAATATTTCATTGAGGAATTATACTTCTTATGAATAATTTATAAAAGCAAATATCTCATTCAAATAAATTAGGTGCGGGTTAACTTATTAATATGGGACATGATTATTTGATATTAATGTAAAATTAAAAAATTTCGCATCAAATCTTAACTAATAATTTCTCTTAATCTAACATTTATAATTTATAAAAAATTAATAAATATGACCCAATAAATTATAACCGTTTGATATAGAAACATTTTATTATCATGCTACTATTAACATTAGTATTAGTATTAGTATTTGTACTGAAAATCACGTGCACGTCACGTGAAAAATTCCCTATGTAACTAGTTGCGTGTGAGAGTAGTGAGTTAAGTTAACCCTCTCTTCCTATTTACCCAATTCGTTATTCATTTGCTCCCAACCCAAAACCCCTCTTAACTCTTCACTCCCAAAACCCAAACCATGTTCCTTCTTCACCGCCGTATATTCACCAAAGCCTCCTCCGTGCACCGCCGCCACTTCTCACATTCCTCAGCGGCTGCCGTCCTCCACTCCCCGGAGCCGGAGCCGGAGCCGGCGCCCTTGAAGTACCTGGAAGGGTTTCCGATTCCCGACCCGAAGTACGACGAGACAATCCTTGCGATCCCCCGCAGCATTTCGGGGAAGAACATCTCGGCGAAGGAGCGAAAGGCCGGTCGCGTTCCGAGCATCGTGTTCGAGCAGGAGGACGGCCAGCACGGCGGCAACAAACGCCTCATCTCCGTTCAAACCAACCAGATCAGGAAGCTCGTCAACCACCTCGGTCGATCCTTCTTCCTCGCTCGTCTCTTCCACCTCGAGGTTCGCTCCCAATTTGACTCCGACGACGTCGTTGAGAGCGTTCGGGTCTTGCCTCGCAGGGTACTCGCTTTACCTCTCTGAAATTTTAATTCTCTGTTTTTTCAGGGAGTTAGTGAAGGAATTGAATATGTGTTTATGAATTGTTTTAATTTATCTGTTATTTAAAGATGTAGTTAATGTCATTTTTTCTTCTTCTTAATATTAAGCGGCATAGATTTGTTGGTTATTATTATAGGAGTCTTATGGCTGTTCAATTGTATCTGTGTGTGATTATAGAAGATTCTTTTACATGGTTATGGTTTTTAAAAGAAAAACTTAGTTTATTGCTTTTGATTTGATAACTAAGAAGCCTGTGTGTGTGAATTTAATAACTGTGAGTTCCCTTTGTGCTGTCTTGTAAATACAAGCATGCACACATAAGAATTGATGGTGTGTGTTGAACTTTTGTCTTTTGAAAATTCCCCAGATTCATTTGAAAGCTGGTACAGATGCACCGTTAAATGTAACCTTTATGAGGGCTCCATCACATGCTTTGTTGAAAGTTGATGTTCCTCTTGTATTCAGAGGAGAAGATATATCCCCTGGACTGAAGAAAGGTTAGCACACATGGAATGCCTATTGCAGTCATGCTTGAATCGTGTCATCAATGCACTAAACTTTCTGCATGACAACACCATCTCATTTTATGAAATTTTTTGTGTAAGAATGTTCTTGTAAACACTCTGTTTGATTCATATCTCATCTGCCTAACTTTAGGAGGCAAGGGAGAAGCTTGAGCTTGATTTGTTATAAGATATTTATAACCCCAATGGTCATTACCAAATTCTATCAACTTTGCCTCAAACTTAACAGGGCAAGTCGACAGGTCTTTTTAGGTTGAATTTAATATTCACTGGGTTCATGCTAGGTGGTAAATGCAATGGATTTTATTATTATGTGAAAATTTCAATTCAGATTTCTGCTCCATATGGCTGTAGCATTGATTTGTCTATAGAATTTCTCACCAAGTCACCATCATATCAAGCAGTAACATGAGAACTCTGGTTACACTATGTTGTTTAGGAAATGGTTCAATTAGTATCTGCTTCAATAAGCCAGCTACTATGCATGGCAAAGTGCCAGTTTTGATGATGATAGTTGTTATTTGGTAGATGAATAGGTCTAAGACTGAGTTTTATTAACCAAATAAAAAGCTCAACTGTACTCGAGGGAGGGATGGTCCAGTGCATGAGGCTCCCACCATTGTGGGGTCTGGGGAGAGATAGATATGCACAACCTTCTTACTGTGAGTGGATAGGCTGTTTGTGTGACTGAAACCCATGACCACCAGGACACTGTGCATCAAGCAACCCTACCATTGTGCCAATGGATGCTATTTAACTTGAGATGATTTCCACTTTTAATGACTCCGTTATTTAAAGTTTCCTGTAAAATGTCAAATATAAAATGGATGCTCTTTTTTTTTTTTTAGTAGACTAAAATGGATGCTCTTTATGTCATTAGGTCTGCATAATAAGTACCATAGAAAATTGACTGCAAGTTGCTTACAACGAGCTTGGTGTTTGGTATTTTAAAATATATAAATTTTTATAATAATCTAGGTGACTTCAAGCACTAGTATACATGTCTTTCTATTTCAATTTTGATTATGATCAAGTTTGTTTCTAGTTACACCATTATACATCTCCAATATTTTTTTTTGGGTTTGATGTTCCGATTCTCCTTTATTTTCTTTGTGATAATTTAATTGACTTGTTTTCTTACTGTAGACCTATATCTACTGTTTCTAAAAAAAGTTGATCTTCTATAATTTCCTTTAGTCAACTGATGAATACTTGCATACATGTTAGAACAATTTCGATCCTCTGGGCAATTCTAGCCATTTGCTTGGGAATGTTGTGTAAATTTTAGAAGGCCTTTCGGCATTGGAATGACTATGGTTGACAATATTATCAGATTTATGCACCTCACAAGATGCTTGTGTAACTTGAAGATTTAAAAACAAATTAGTGTGTTGTTTCATTGATGTGCTTGATGAACTAGGATTATTACAAGGATAGAAGATTAGTTCTGTCAAATAATTGTAGTTTATGATATATTATATATAGTGTGCAATTTCATCTTATTATAGAGTTATTCTGTTGTAGGATATATTCGTAGGTTTTGTGGTCCAAAGTGAATGGTCATTATTGAACATTTCTGTCTTTGTATGACACTGACTTCTCTAACTGATAACATTTGTGCTGACTGGATGTATGGATATTAATATCTTAAAATTATGAAAATAACTTTATGACAAAAGCATTTTGTTTTGCACTTTTACCCATTGTTTTATGTTTATAATGTTATATTTCGTTAAGTATTATTCATCATTTCACAAATTTGGCAGGTGCTTTTTTGAATACCATCAAAAGGACTGTCAAGTATCTATGCCCTGCAGACATTATTCCCCCATATATTGACGTGGATTTAAGTGAGTTGGATGTGGGCCAGAAGTTGGTTATGGGAGATCTCAATGTTCACCCTGCATTAAAACTTCTTCACGAAAAAGATGAAGCTGTTTGTAAAATTATGGGCCAAAGGGTTTCTGAACAACAAAAGAAATCTAAGTAACTGCTTTTTGTATCTTTGGTGGTTATTACTGCTGCACTGAAGCATTTTATAGCTAACATATATCATTTTGGCCATCCTATTAGTTGATTCTTTGCAGCAGTGAAGGACCCGTTTATAGAGTTCCAATGTTTGGTTTTTGTCAACCTCCTTTTCTGTGCCGATTCAGTTCCTTCCCATCTTTCAATTCTCTGTTTCTTCCATTTTTTTTGGCAAAAATTAATATATGGGGGATGAGAATTGGAAGTTGATGCGTTGAGTTTATGTATGCAATTAGATGTCCCTGTTTTGGGCTATTGGATACAAGCAGAGGGTTATCACTGATATCCTCATGTCCTTAATAAATAGTTCAGTGCGCCTGTCTAAGACTCCAGTTTGAATTTAAGATATCTGACAGGTAATTTACAAATTTTTTTACATTTAGTCAATGTTTGCCTCATATCAGTTTTATCTTTCGTCCATGTTCTAAAGACGTGCTTGCAGATAAATAGTTCGTAATGATGTGAGATTCAATCACCGCAATTTTCTTGCAGTTTACAACATCACTCATTTTGCATTCAAAGCTTGACATTCATGTGGAAGTAATTTACTGCGGTAAGCACGAGTTAGCCAAAACTCTATTAGAAGTAAAGTAAAAATTCTCTATCAGCCTTCTATGTTTTCTAGATTAAGTTCTTTTCTTAGTACTGCATAGCAAAGAAATCGAGCAGAAGCAAATGTGTCCTAAGGACATCAAACATTCAATTTTTATCTGGGTTTTTACTTGACATGGACCGTATGCGTTGTTGTATACATTTTTGACCTTTTATTAGATTAGATTAGGCAACTCAAACATTGGCACAAGATGTTTCGAAAAAATAACGTTGCTGCGAGTCAAGCTCTCTTGGATTAGAGACCCATGGTCGTGTACGAGGCGTTGTAAGGAGGGAAATAGAAAAATACTGTCACAACCAGTTGTTACTTGTAGGGTTTACATGTTATGGTGATTTGTCCATGCATTTCATGACAACATTAATGTTAATACGGTTAATGGTAATGGGGTTTGGTAAAGTGTTAATAGCTGCTATCCTTGTAAACAAAATAAAAATATTGAAGAGTTAATTAGATTCATTAAGAATGAGAGTGATATATCTATGGAGTTTGGTGTAGTTGGTAAAGTAAGTTGAATATTGGTATATTATGCTTCCAGTGAAGGTATTTGAAACATGGTGAATACACTTTATGATTAAGTAAGTTTATTTTAATAGGAATTAATTTTACACTTAATAAATGTAGAAATATCTTGTGGTCTAATTAAAAAGAATATTACGAGAGATATAAAGCTAAATTTTTTAATTTGCACTTTTATTTTTAAGAGACAACTAACTGATTTTGATAAATAAAGTATTATGTGGGAGAGGAACATAAGAAACAACATGAAAATACAGACAGATAGAACCGTCTACATTCTGTAAATATGGTACATGTTGGAAGGTGAAATACTTTGTAAATAAAACTGATCATTAATTTTTTTTATTTGATAAATGTTTGAGATGAGAATCCTTCTAAGCAAGATATAGAAAGTTCTTTTTTCAAAAATTTATCAAAATGGGCCCTAAATATAAAATACAATGCAAGAACATAAGTAATTTGAGCTATACTAACCTCCGAGGATTTGAGTGATAAAGTTTAAAGAAAAGATGTTAAAAGAGAGTTTTTTCCTCATAGTGGGTCTATTTAGCTGCTGTTTTTTTTTTTTTTCGAGATTTCTGTTAGTTTGGTCGAGTTGAATAAGATTATAATGATGGCAAAACTATTCTTACTAAAATTTTGACACAACTGTATATTTATGATTGGAACCCGATACCATGATTAAACTAGAACAATATATAACCTTTAATTAAAAAACTATTAAAAAATAAATAAAATTCAATTTTTGTTGAATAGTTTATTAAAAAAAGAGAGAATGAGAGTTCAAAATGTTAAAAATATTATTGTTCTAAAATAAGAATAAGTCCTACATTTTCTTAGAGAATATACATAAAAATAATTCTTAAATGAATAAAAATAATTATTATCTTACCAAAATTTAAAAAACAGTATACATAAAAACAAATTTCATAACTATAAAAACGAATTTTAACATTTGGTGTGTTATATTGTTATGTGTATGTAGCGCTACCGTTCTAGGTTTTATCTTTGACCGTTTCACGTGGAAGACGAGAAAAACTAAAATGCACTGGGAGCATTAAATTGATTTTTTTTTTATTAAAAAAGAATTTTTTAGAACTTAAGTGAACATAAAAACAGCATTTTATAAAATAGGAAAAAAAAATGTTTTTTTCTAAATAAAAGAGAGTACCTGCGCAAATTTATCTCGTGGAAGACATGTCAGTTCGGTGAGAATATTCGGGAAGAAAACCCAGTAGAGTCGTGCGCACAGAAACCCTCAAAATCAGCCCAATGTAAAAAAATAAAATAAAATCACCATTCTTGTCATTTAAAGAACGAAAATAAAAAAGAAAAAGAAAAAAGAAAAAAGAAAATAAAAAGATAGCAAAGAAGAGAAAAAGAAAGGGCAGCAGAGGATAAGATTCGAAGAACATATATCTACAGCGATTAATTTTCCTTCACTTTCCGGGAAAGTCTTATTTTCCAGGAAAACCTAATATATGCTGGGAACAAGGAGGCTATAGAGATAGATAGATAGATCGATCGAATTGAGATGTACAACTCGACGGCGAGCAGGAGCGTTCTGGCGTCGCGGACGAGCTCGCGGTCGGTGACGGAGACGGTGAACGGGTCGCACAAGTTCGTTATAAAGGGTTACTCTTTGGCGAAGGGGATCGGAGTTGGGAAGCACATAGCGAGCGAGACTTTCTCGGTGGGAGGGTACCAGTGGGCGATATACTTCTACCCTGACGGCAAGAACCCTGAGGATAACTCTGCTTACGTCTCCGTCTTCATCGCTCTCGCTTCCGAAGGCACCGATGTTCGTGCTCTCTTCGAACTCACCTTGCTCGACCAAAGCGGAAATGGCAAGCACAAGGTTCATAGCCACTTCGATCGCTCCCTCGAGAGCGGACCCTACACTCTCAAGTACAGAGGCAGCATGTGGTTAGTCTCTCTCTCTCTCTCTCTCTTGATTCTTGCATTTTTATTTTTTATTTTTGTTGATAATTTCTGTTTTTGAATTTTATGTGGTTTATTTCTTAGGTTAGGTGTAATTATTTTTGAATAATATAACACAGTGAAATAGCAATATATTTGTCTAGATTTATCAGAAAACGTAAAAAACAGAAAAAAAAAAAAAAAAAAAAATAGAGATGGAGGACGGAGTTTGGAATTGTCTAACTCTTCTCTAACTCTTCTAGTTGGTCATTTGTGTGCTGGCTCTGTGAATTGTCTTCACTTTGTGGTTTTTTGTGGGGAGAAGATGGTGATAAAACATTTACAAGTAAAACACATCCTTCTACCTCTTTGTGATGTGAGATAGAGCACATAGGTGGAATGAGTGACGTATGCATTATGGTCTGAGTGATAAGGAGCTCTGTTTCCCTTAAATAAGGTCTCAGGTTAGACTCTTGTGAATGGAAAAACTAGGCGGGAGAAGAGGTTTGCTACCACTTGGATTAGCTGGGGTTCATAGTGGTTTCTCAGTAGCGTTACTGTTAAGGTAGTGTTTGGTACCAGGATTTTTTTGCAATTCCTGGGAAAGCCTGGTTGGATAAATTAATTTCCCATGTTTGGTAGCCAAAAAGTAAAAACTTTCTTGGGTATATTTTTTTCCTAGGTTTTTCTATTGTGTGTAAATATGTGTACGGACATGAACGCTGAAATACCATGGATTAGTTGGAATTTTTTCTTTCCCGGGCAAGTGAAAAGTAAACCATGATTTGGGGGACCAAATTAACCTTGAGATTCGGGATCCATTTTCTGCCGGAAAGAGGAAGAAGGTTGGGGAGAGAAAAGGTGAAAAAATTGGGGAAAGGAAGAAGAAAGTAGAGAATAAGAGGGAAAGTGTGTTGATGTTTCTGTGTTCTTGTGCTAATCTGACTTGGTCGCCGGGATTGAAGAACACAATAACTTTGGCCTAAAAAAAGAACTTTGGATTGTTAAATTTGTCTGTTGTTCCTGCTTACTAATTTGTGAATGAGGATTGTTATGCACTCGCTCCGTCCCTCGTTCATTTTTCACTTTTGGAATGTAGTAGACGATGTGAGAAAGGGAAAACTGAGGTAAAATGAACAAGGGTAATTTTGTCATTTCGGTTCATATTCCCATCAATATTTTACAATCAACCAAACATAGCATCACTAAAATGAACTCAACTTTTTATGGAAAAATTTTGACCTACCAAAAACCTTTCTGTAACTTACCTGGAAATTTTTTTTTCCCATTACTGGAAATCTTTTTTTCTCGGTAAAAAAAAAATATCTCCTCTACCAAACGCTCCCTTAGATCAATAAAGGTTTACGTTTCAGCTTACCAAAAACAAAAAAAAAGGTTTACGTTTCAAGTTGATTCATTTTTAACCTTAATATTTTAACCAAACAATATGATTCGTTTTGGGTATCTCTGAATAAGAAGCTAGACATATTTCTTGATGGCTTCTTCTTTGATGGTTTACTTATTCTAACACTCCAATGAAAGCCTTGTGATTTTGTAATATACTTTACTTATCATCTAGAGTCGTTAGCTATTCTGTCCATTTTGTGGTATTCATTACAAAGTGACCAATGATGCACTGATCTGTATGTTAGGGGGTATAAACGTTTTTTCAAACGAGCTCAACTCGAGGCATCAACTTTCCTTAAGGATGACTGCTTGAAGATAAACTGCACTGTTGGCGTTGTGGTGTCATCCATTGATTGTTCTAAACTAAACAAAATACAGGTTCCCGATTCTGATATTGGAGCACATTTTGGCATGCTATTAGAGAATGAGGAAGGATCTGATGTTACTTTCTTTGTCGATGGAGAAAGGTTTCATGCGCATAAGCTTGTTTTAGCTGCACGGTCAACCGCATTTGAAACTGAGTTTTTCAATGGGCTGGAAGAAGATGAACATGACATAATTGTTACTGACATGGAACCTAAGGTTTTCAAGGTAGCACTTTCCTGAAAAATTTCTTTTTTTTTCCGTCTATCCTTTTGCAGTTATTTTTTATTCCAAGCAACATGCATGCTAATCAATCCAGTGTAGCATATCATTTGTATCTAATGTTTCTTGAGTCCTATTGTTGAGCAGGCTTTGCTTCATTTTATTTATAGAGACTCTCTTATAGAAGATGAAGAGCTCTTTATGTCACGTTCATCATTCTTGCCTTCAGTATCTGAAACATTTGCAGCAAAATTGTTAGCTGCTGCAGAAAAGTATGGTTTGCCAAGACTTAAACTGATGTGCGAGTCTGTACTTTGCAAAGACATATCTATAGATTCTGTTGCCTATATTCTGGCTCTTGCTGATCGTTATCATGCTACAGAACTGAAGTCCATCTGTCTACAATTTTCTGCTGAAAACCTTGTCGGTGAGTTTTCCTGCTTAAACTTCCCACCCAAGTCTACATCTGAATTCTTAATCAGCTACTTTTGACCTTATAATGTTTTGGCATCATTTTGGTGTCTGCAGTTTTGAGTTTCTCAAGTGATGTTTTATCTGTTATTTGGCCAACCAGTAGACCATGCATGCATTATTACCTTTGTCTTTTGCTTTACTGCTATACTTGTTCATTTATTACCTTAAACTTGTTAGAAGGACTTCACTTATAACGAGGCTGGTTTTATGCATAAATGACTTCAGCTTTTTACATGTTCTCTTTACCATGTGGCAATTTAGATATCAAACAGGAACAGAATAGAAACTGTCCAAGATGTATTATAGATCACACTTAACATGATATACATAAACAAACTCGTTCTGTTTTCATTCTCATGCTAATGAAAAATGCCTGGAACTGTAATATGTTTTTCACCACTGGCAGATGTGGTTGTATGGAAACAAACTTCTAATTCTGAATATTATTAACATGTGAAGCAGCTCCATTTATGGAACATTATCTTGATTAAATCACTTTTGTATGACTGTATTGTATGCATTGTCTACAAGAAAGTAAAGACTATCTATCCTCCAAAATGTAAATGTTTATACTTCATAGTGTAGAAAAAAGAAGGGAGTAAAAAGAGACACTTCCTCATCTGTTCCACATATCCTAACTCTTATGTTGTTCATGTGAATGGAAAATATCTGGTCTAATTGCTGGTATTGATAATGATAATTATGATTAAAGACTTTTTTTTTTGTGCCTATTTTTATAATAATTGAGGAAGAAAAATCCTTTTCTAGAGGAGAAGTTTTTAAATTTTGGGTGATTGTACTATTCCCATCTTTCTCAGAGCTGAATGATTAGACATATTTGGATTCATTTGGTAGTGTGAAAAGATTGCAGAGGATCCAATATCCTGTTCCTACTGTCTATATCTTTCATTTCCTAATTCTGCACCACCTTTAGAGGTTTCTGTTGAAAAAACTATCTGTAGCTTTCTTCTTGGCACTTCATCTCATGCTTTTCATTCCGTATTTAATTGAGGATTCATAAGAGGGCTACTAATTGTTTATATAATCATGCCACCTCAGCAGTCTTCTAATAAAATATATTGTTCATAAAATGGGTCCAAAAACGAAAGAAAGAAGGAAAGAAGGTCGACTCAACAACTCAGTTTCTGTTATGTTTGCACAGTAGTTATTATTACTGCTTACCAGACTTATCAAGTTTGCGTACACTTCAATTTGTGCTTCCTACATTTTTCAATTGAATAGTGGGACCTCATCCTGTATGCATATCTCTCTGTCTTCTAGGGTTTTCATTTTCAGTAATTGCCAAAAAATCAGGAATTGATCAAACAGTGTCCCTTAGATGTATAAGCAGTTGATTCTCATATCATTTCTTTCTTAATTCTATCTGCTGCAGCTGTGATGCAATCTGATGGCTTTGAGTATCTTAAGGAAAACTGTCCTTTGCTGCAATCAGAACTGCTAAAGACAGTGGCAGGATGCGAAGAGGAATTTAGTGGAGAAGGAAAATGTCGAAGTGTGTGGGCCCAATTTTCTGATGGTGGTGACACGAATGATAGGAGTGTAAGACAACAAACCTGGGAAAATGGAGTAGAAAGAAGTCAAAGCTTATGGGTTCAACTTTCTGATGGGGTTAACAACAATGATCGGAGTCCAGGGCAAGAAGCTTGATGAGGTAAGTTACCATCATCTGTCCGTTAGGCTTCAATTGTAACTTAAACACTATTGCAGGAACAAGAATAACCCCATGTGTGGACAGACAAGGGGGGAGGAATGCATAACAATGTAAAGAAAGGAGGCTGAGACACTGCCACCATTGTAACATGTTCTATCAATGATATGTTTTTCTTTTACTGATAATATGATTACGAGGATCAAGTGGTAGCAATAAGTAATAACATTGATCATTGTATGGAAGATTGTTGGGAACATTGTCATGAAGAACTGGTCTTGCTTTACTTGATGGTTGCCTTTCATGAAGAGAATATATTTTCAGCTATAAAAATTTAATAAAGTAGTCAATGAGCTGTGCTTTATGATACTTGTCTTGTTTCTTCAAAGTCCGAGTTCAGTTCAGAAATGATGAGAACCATAAACCATTGCGTGCAGGGATTCCGATGGGACACGTTAATAGGTTATTGCTACAAGACCAGCCAGCAGTTCTTCCCTTCGCATTTTCTTATTGTTTCGTTGAGCGTTGTTTATTTTCTAAATTTCTTCTTTTTTTTCTTTTTTTAAAAAAAAAAATCTTTTGGGAGAAAGAGAAGGGGGTGGATGGGGCTATATTGAGCAACCAACAAGCTGTGTGGAAGAAGCACTTGCCGCTAGCAGGTTCATTTTGTAACGTTAGTCATGTATCTTTTAATATCAATGATTGCTAGCACTAGTTAATGAGATGAAGTGACAAAACAATTCTAGTTTATCTTTCATTGTATCCAGATCCTTTTTCTTTTGTTTTTTCCTGTTCCTTCATTTCTTGTTTAGATTGGGGGGAGGGGGTTCTGCCCTAGTTGGTGAACACAGGACATTTCATGCTTGATCGCTTTAGCTCCAGACCTTGGGAATCGTCATCGTTTTGAGTTGTGAAATACCCTTATTTTTATACTTTTTTGCACCATTTGTGAAGGGCGATATTCAGCAGCCTTCGTGATTTAAAAAGTGGGATGTTATACAAGATCTGAGGTTAAGGTATTTTACCTTCGTCCTATTTCACAGCCCAAGTTTAATTTTTGAATATAAAATTAAGGTTTAAAACAGAGTGATATGTTGTCGTCCAATTTATGTTCCTGTATTGAGTTGGGTCTTGGAATTTTGTTTAATTAGGGTTTAGTGTTGATAATTTATCGTATTTTGTTGTAGGCTTGTAGATCAAACTGAAGCTCTACGGATAAAGTGCGTAATCATGCTTGTTTGTTTGGTTCTCTGCAATGAAAATGCAGCTATGACCGGTTGAGTTTCCATCTTAAGTTTGACAGACGGTTAAGTAGGTGTCTAATTAATAGTCCCAACTCCCAAATGACTATCTGCATTGAGTCTGAACTAATATTGGAGAAAGAACACAAGCTAAGTAAATAAATAAGTTGGTTTATAACTTTTTTTTCTTTTGATGTTACTTAACGTTTCTTTGCTAAATTAGTTGTTCAACGATAAGGATATGTGAAATAATTTAATTTTATGATTATTAAACGATTTGAGAATAAAATTTATTTTTATTTAATAAAGAAATTACAGTATAAGATTACTCAAAAATATTTCCATATCTTATTTAAAATAATATAATTAAATGTACAAAAAGAAAATTAAAAATAATATTATATATGAGTAAATAATATAAAAATAAATAAAAAATATTATTACTTTTAAAATTATTGGAAAAGTATTTGTCATTTTAAATGACATAAAATTATTAAGAAAATAAATTATTTTAAAACTATTGGAAGGTGAAGATACACAAAAAAGAGTATAAAGTATAAAAACCCCAATTTTAAAACTAAAAAGCTTACTTTTACTTACAATATAAATTATTCAATAACTATGTTAAATTTTATGCAACAATTTAAAATGATTCAAAAGTAGCGAGGGGATATATTAAATAAATTATTTTTTAATTTTTTTTATGGATGAATTTATTAGGGAGAGAAAGAGAGAGTCGTTGATGTGACTTGTTTTTAACTTAACAGAAACTAGTTAAATGAATATAGTTTATGTGGATGAAGACGAACTCTGAGATAAGAACTTGTTTGCTATAGTAGCCAATTATTAGACCACCAATCCCATTATCCAAACCTCATGCTGTCTTTTCATTGGATGGATCGATAACGACAAGTAAATTACTTCATAATCAAGTAATCAACAAAATAACACACTATTTCAACACATACAAATTAAATGAGTTGATTCCACTAACACTTAGTATATTATACATGTTCATTAAGATATTTCCGCATAATGGTTTGCTTAAAAAAAATGTCTCTCCCAAGAATTATTTTATCTATTTTCAAAGTCGGAACTGCATATATTATTAGGAGGTTAAGTTTATGCATGATACTAGTAACTTTAAGGGGAAAACTAGTTATTAAAAAATATTTTAATCGCAGCAATGCAAGTTTGTAATCTTACAGTATTGCTTATATAGAGAATACTCAAATTTAAAATAAAGCAAATTGGTGTACATTAAGTCACATTCATATATACTGACAAAAAGAAATGAAAATGACGACTATCACGTGGCTCTAAGATATTTTTGTCTTTACTTCCCAAATGATTATATCCATATGAATATGATTTTTTGTCTCTAACGTCCCAAATAAAACTAATAATAATATGTTACATAACGTGTGGATAAGATCTTCTGAATGGGCATGGCATTAATTAGAATTTTATTATTTTATGAATGAATTGCTGTTTCTGGCTGTGGCAGTGGATACGATTTTATAATTGGGTTTTATAAGAGTTATGTTGTAGGAAAAGTGATTGTGTAATGTTATAGAGATTCGTTTGCGTGCCGTAGTTTTTTTTTTTTTTTTTTTCAAAAAATATGAATCTCACAAAATGTGTGTGTATAAAATTTTTTGTTCTGTCATATTAAATGACAAATTGCAAATCCTTTTATAATTTTATATCAAGAAGGTGAAAGGAAAGTCTAGCAAGTAACATGCTGCACAGGTGACAGGACCATCTCTGCTATGCACATGATTAGGTATCTATTAATACAATTGCTGGGGTCAAGGAGAGGTTAGAGCGGCAATAGCTCCCTTAAATTTATTAAATCTTTGTTTGAAACTATATTTACAGTTAAAAAAATAGGTTTAACACTTTTTTTTTACTGCAATTTTTTTTTTGTACCACACCTCCATACAAGTGAGTGAATTTCACTAACTTTTTTCTCTTCTTTTTTAAAATGGAGCTACCTGTGAGTGTGCTAGAGAAAAAATTTGTACAGCAAAAGCAGAAATATTTTATTTTCTAAAAAATTATAGATTTGTCACTTCTACCGCTACAAATGAGAAATTTTGCAGTAATCACCTTTACACTAGGATCTGTATAAGAATCTTGGCATTTCTTTTTTTAAAAAAAGCCAGATCCTCATTTGTATTTTAAATTTTTATGTGTTGCTGCAAAAAAATTTTCTGCTACGGTGGAAAGAAATACATTTGCCAAAAAATATAATGTAATATAAGTTTGTCATCTTTAGTTGTTTATTGTATTTTATGGGTAAAAGATTTTTTCAGTCAATGGAGATAAGTTATCTCCGATGAGTCCAAAATGACATCGTTTTGGGTAGAAATCAAGGTATTTTTGTAATTATAATATATTGCAGGATTATATTATGTTGAAATTACAGTGGATATATTTCTAGTTTTCTTTAATTTCTTTAAAGAGAAAAGAGGAGTAAGGAGAGAAAATCACACGCAGGATTTTTACTTGTTTAGAAACTTGTGTTACCAAGTTTCCTACGTCAAAGATCAATTAGAGAGACCACTCCCTGGCACTTGCACTAAGTAAATCAGGAACAAATTACAACATTCACTTACAGGCTTAAAATAACCAAAGCCCCAAACGAAAAACCCTAAAGTCCCAAATTACTCAGACAAATCAAGAAACTTAGAAATATAACATGCTATTAAAATACAACAACATCAAAACACCCAAACAAGAAGCACACAAGCACACTTGTGTTACCAGAACCCTCCAAGCAAGAACAACAACCCTTGCAACCGAGAGAGTCTTCAGGATTCACCTCCACTGCACCACCGTAGCACCACTTCTTCAAGACCCACCAATATACTATCGATTGGTGACCTGCAAAACAAGCAGAAAAAGAACAACAAAGAAGAAGGAACGATAACAGCAAAAACAAGGTCAGATTTTGGGTTTTTGAGCGAAACCCTATCAGAGCAAACAGAGCGATTTTTCTAACTGAATATTCAAGAGAGAGATGTATTCGTATGAATGAGAAAGGCAACCAGCTGACTAGCTATATTATCACTCATCTATACAAAGCACACCGTTTTGATTAATATGACAAAAAGACAAAAAAAGTCCTTAAGTGAACGTATGCGGCAATATATGATAATGAGGCTACTTTTGGAAATAGACTTATATAACATATTAGTCTTTATCATTATAATTTTTTATTCTTATAACCCAAAATAACGTCGTTTTGAGCTTACGGTGACCGGAGAAATACTTTTCCCATATTTTATTTGCCAAGGAAATTCGATTTTTTTTTTAAATTTTGATTATGAATTAACTCACTACTTTTTTTTTTGGAGTTACCCAACCCTAATTATCTCTTTGAGACGAGTTGGCTCCCTCCGGTATCCCCACGAGCTTCGACTCTTTGAGCCGGCTATGGGACTAATCCAGAGTGCGAATTAACTCACTACTGTTTTGTCATAGCTAAGCCAGTGTAAATTTTGAATTTCTCGCCCTTCTAAAAACTTTTTTGTTCCGCCATTGATTAATATTCAATAGAGTAAATAGGTAACTTGATTTTTAAAATTATTTTCATAGGTAACTTGATTAATCCGGTTCAAGCATTATTAAATCTATTATCGGAGGAGGGTTAGACTCAAACTCAAAACCTGAAATAAAATATTAGACTCATGTTATGAAGAAATATTTTTGTGAATAACTATTATTTTTTAATGAGTGGTTTTTTTTATCACTTTTTAGTTGACATTTATAAATGAAATTATATATTAGCTATACGAAGTTAGAAAGAAAGTTGCGAATGATTGTTACTTTTTACTGAGCGATTAAGAGCTTATTTGAATTTTTATATTAAATTTATAAAGTTAAAAAGAAATTTGTTATAATGAATTGTAAATTATACTACTAAATGGTTAACAGTTGTAATCGAAGTTATTCATTAATTACATAGGGAGTGACTAATTTTTTTTTTGGTGAGTGGTTATTTATTTATAATAAGTAGTTAAAACTTTTAAAAGAACCTTAATATATATTTAGATTTAGAAAGTTATGTATAAATTTACGAATAACTTAAAAAAAGCTTATTTGAAATTTTTTTAAATATATTATGGTGCAATTTGAAAAAGTTATTGTAAAATATACTACTCATCT